AATTCTTAAATATCTAGTGACTGATGTTCTGAGCAGTTAGTACTTGCGTCGCTTTCTCATCAAACAATTTCTTACTCTTCAACAGTTTCTTGGACGGCTACTTTTTACTTTTACTTGAGTAAAAATAAGTTGTAGTCGTGCTACTCTTACTTGGGTATAATTTTTGGATACTCCATTTACAACCAAACGTCATCTTGGCATCTCAGGTTTGCTGACCGGTCTGCTTGGCTGAATTATGTAATAATTATGTACGCTGTAACTGCAACAGGTTTTCCCAGCACCACAATCTGCCTGCAGCTGTTTCTCATTTTTAAAGCCACACCAGCAATGCGAAAACATGCAGCGCTTTAACATCCTGTCACTTTAACATCCGACTGGGACGTTCTGTGTCTGAGCTGCAGACATAATCTGCAGAAGCATAAATGCTCCGACATGCAGTCAGCGCCATCCGGCCCAGTTAAAGCACTCCTCACTCGACTTTCACAGAGACCAACTTAAAAGGATTTTCTACAATTTGGATTAGCTTTGAGAGAAAAGAAAGTGACCTAATTAAAGTTTGAAAAGTTAAACAGGGTGTTTCCAAGTGTCTGGAAATCAAGTTTAAGACTTTTTAAAACATTTTAAAGACAATTATGTATTTATTTTTTTTCAATTACAAAAAAGATGAAAGTAAAAAAGTTAGGACCTCAGTTTGATATATAATTTCAACATGGTCATTTTATTCTTGACCTACAAAAGTCTTAGGTCAAGAATAAAATGACCTAAGGCTTTTGTAATTAACATCCAATAAAGTATATGGACTTTCTGACTGATCACTTTCTTTCATGGCCCAAAAAGAGCCGGACCTTCGGCAGCAAAATCATCTTCATGCATGACAATGCACCATCTCATGCTGCAAGGAATACCACTGTGTCACTGGCTGCTATGGGCATAAAGGGGAGAAACTCATGCTGTGTCACCATCCTCCTCTGATCTCAACGCTATTGAGAACCTTTGGAGTTTCCTCAAGCAGAAGATGTGAGGGTGGGATGCAGTTCATATCAAGCAGCAGCTCTGGGAAGGTTTTCTGACATCCTGCAAAGAAATTCAAATTCAAAGAAAAAAATACTGGTCTCATGGGGAGCTTTGCTCAGTAAAATGTGATTTATACTGTAATAGTTCATGACTTGAAAATCATAATGACCACCATTTAAGAAAATCTGAGAAAATCACTTGCATAATAAATTGGAAGACAGTGAACTGAAATCACCATTATCCAATGTGACTTTCCTTATTCTAAATAACCAACAATTTTTCAAACTTCCAGGTGAAACTTTGCTGAAGAATAAAAAAAAAGCTGGAAAAAGCAATAAATCAGCAAACAAATCTGTACATCAACCAACCCAGGCTCTTTAAGATTTTCCTCTCCACAATCACTCAACTAAACATCTAGTTTTTATTCTGCAGTCTAAAGAAACCAAAATTAGTCATCCCCCCAGTAGAGTTTAAGTGATAATTATTCAACCAAGACATTTCTTTTTGACTGGAAGTAACAGTCACATTTCAAAAGTTGATAAAACAATCAGTAAACAATAATAACCTGGTGGCCCTTCAGGCTCATAATACACTGAGAGAAACTGTGAATAACAATAAAGAAAAAATTTTGAGATGTCAGGAATCCATTATGAGTATAATTAATCCTTTGTATTCCTTTTCAGAAATGTCTATAAAAGCGTGAGGACTGATTGAAAAGCTGAAGTACAGCTGTTTTCCGGCACCATTGCTCCATGAAGGCTGAAAGTGTCCGGCCCTCGGCCTCCCTGCGCCAGGTGACTTCAGTGTGTGTCTGAATAAATGACCCAGTCAAGGTGAGCTCCGTGTGTCAAACCAAGAGCATCAAAGACAAACCACGGAACCTTGCCAGAGGGCCCGCTTTCCTTTCACCTGGAGAACCGCAACTTGTACTCTCCGAGGCTTGATGCATTTGAGCCCATCCTGATCTTTGTAATGACTGGTCAAAAAAAAAAAAAAAGAGGTTCAGACAGCCTCCTGTCTACTGGCATGAAAGACAAGACTTTCAAAGAGCCTTCTCCTTCCTCTTCGGGTTTAAAAGATGAACACATTCCCATCAAGGTCACATTTCCGCAAGAGCGATTCAAGGCAAAAATCACCAGAATGTAAACAGCGCTGACTGATAGAGTGGAGGACAATGATGGGGCCCATGACAACGATACCACTCAGCAACAGAGTCGATGACAGTTGCGGCAGAGGTGTATCTGGGCCCAGGGAAAAGGGAACGAGACAAAGAGGAAGGGTTAGGAGAGGTTGGGCTGGATGGAAGGGGGTACTGATTGGTTTGCCGTCTCATGGGGTGCGTGTTTGCCTGCAGGGAAAGGTCACGGGAGGGAATAGGAGTAACGAGGTGTGAAGGGAAGGCACTGTCCTCGGTTCCCAGGCCCTTGGAGACGGCCACAGCAAGGTGCTAATGCAGATGCTCCGCAGCTTCCCAGGTTCTGTTTATTACACCTTTCGAGGGGAGCCAGCCTAGAGTCTCACCATCAGTCAATACAGCTGAGAACATGCTAATCAGAAGCACAAGCTGGCAGCAGAGCCAACTCCCAGGGCCGCAGACGGATAAAAAGGAGACGTAGAGAAGCTCAGCTGCTGATTTTATCCTAAACGCTGAGAAAAAAACGCCACACTAACATGAGCTGCCGAACGGCAGCATTTCTGAAGACATATGAGTTTGTTTCTGTCAGTTTAATAACAACATTCTATTTATTTACTGACTAGTTTGACTCCTAACTGGTATGAATTTAAAGGTGCGGTATTATGTATTTTTCAAGCACATAGTGTCATTTTACAGCACAATCCAGTATCTATTTGACCTTTAGTTCTAATAAAATATGTCAATATCAAATACGACTGAAAATAAATTTGCCTTGAAGCTGGGTCTGTCACTTTAAGAAGCTCCTACTCATTACATTGTTGTAATGATGTGCTCCTACTCAGCACATCATTACAACGATGACTCTCAATTTTGCCGCTTATGCAGACTTAGTAAAGTTTGTACAACGAACATCCTGTCAACAAGGCCTGTGTTTCAAATCTTAAATTGCCACTGTTTATTAAATTATTCCTGTTAATTTGTTCACATTATTTATTCATATTGTCTATTTTTCTGATTTCTGTCTACTTGTCTTGTCTATCATGTTGTGTTCTCCTGCTTTTCCTGGTCAGGTTAAATGAAAGGTTTAGTTCATATGATGAACTCAGTAGTTCCATTAGGGGCTTGCTTATTGCTGCTGCTGCCACGCTGCCGTAACATGACATAAAGCTAAAAAAATAAAATAGAAAATAAAATAGGAAATATGCACAACTCTATGTCTTCCCCTCTAGTCCAAACCGCCCACTTCCTGTCAGTTGGCTACCAATTCTTCCTCGAGTGCTGATATTAATTAAGCTACAACTAATTAAAAAAAAATCTTCCTCTGATTCTAGTTTATGCTTCCTTAAAAATACCTAAATAAAACATCCAGGTGCCAGTAACGAATGATTTTTTGTTTTTCCACTCAACAATCCAGACAGAATTTGGCAACTTTTGTTGGCCCAAAAATTCAGCTTCACAGCTTCAAAATAGCAGCGAACAAAGAAGTGGGTGGAATCCAGGTGGCTACATCCAATTTTTATATGCAGTGAAGTTTCCCCAGCTGTCTGAGCACACTAACAACTGCAGCTGGATCAATGCACACCAGTCCACTAATGACCACAGGAGCTTCGGCCAAGGTTGACTTGTTGCTAGTTAACTCCTTTCAGACACACAAACGCCGGGAACCACATCACACATCCGAACAAAACAAAGACGCTGAGGCTGGTAGCAACGTAGCCAACAATCCCAGCGCAAATGACTGAAACAATTCATTTAGTAACTTGAACCAAACATCAAAAAAATCATGAAACGCGCCGTAAGTCACTGTGATCAAAACCTGCAGTATGTAAGAGCGATTTAAAGGCAGGAGAACATTCAAAAACATTCAGTCCAAAGAGCAGTGGCTGAGGAGCCACCTCTGCAGGTGAAAACAAATCCCTGCTGGGTTGATGTGTGAATAGGTTTATTTGACTCCGCACTAGGGCCTTCTTAGAAAAACAAACGAGGAGTACATTTCTTCCAAAAAGCCCAAGAAATTTTGAGATTAGTCTCAGAAATTTGCTAGAAAAGAAACTTAGAAATGGCTTAGTTTCAAAAGTTAAAAATTTTCAACTTTTGAAAATTTCTGAGATTAATCAAAACATTTCTGAGTTTCTTGCAAATGTTTTGACTCAGAAATATTCATGTTTTTTTGCTGAATTGCTGAATTTATTATCCAAATTTTATATAAACAGTAGAAAATGACTACACTTCTTCAATTTTTTACAATTTTATACTGTAAAATAACGTGAGAGGTTAGATTAGCTAAAACTAAATGGACTGTTTAGAAAACCCGAATCTGCATCCGCAGTAGCTAACTAAGCTAGTGCAGTAGCTAACTATGCTAGTGCGGGTTATTTGCGGCCATTTCTTCAAGTCACCATCAACAGCTACAGGTAGCAGTAAAACAATATTACCACATCTAAGCTGTGATACCTGGAGTTTCCACATATTACATAGCTAAAACCTCTGTGGAGGTTAGCGAGTTGCTAACATGTCAACAAATGGTGGTTCCGGTTTTCGGCGGAAGTCTCATCCATAAATCACGCAAAGCCTCATGGGGCTAGAAATAAGGTGGACAATAGCAGCAGAAATTCAAAGGAGAATCATCATTTAAAATAAATAAATAAATTAACCAACATATTTATCCAGAGCAGTATTAGCATTATGCTAACCAAATAAACGCAAGCATCAAATAAATAACAGCAACGTTCATAACTGACTATGAGCAAAAGATAAATTACATCAGCTGATAAATAAATAAAGGAAGAAAAAGAGCAGCTAAATCGGCTAAAGCTAATAAAAACGCTGAGAAATAAAAGTTGTAGCTTACTTGTCAGTCAAGGTGGGGATTCGGTCTAAGCCAGCTTTCCATCGTCGCCATGATCAACTTTACCGCCATGGAGTCCCGAAACTTTACGAGGTGAAATTTTGAGCCCCACAGACATTGAATTAATCGATGCTGATTGGCCAAATGTTTATCATTGTCCCCTAGCAACAGCACACTATTGGCCATTTAGCTTCACTTCCAGCGGCACAGATGGTAACTGACAGGAGTCTGTCACGGCTCTGTTGCCAGATTGGCTGCGAAAACCCCCCAGCTTTGTTAAATTTGGGCAGCTTCTCACATCATTTGGCAGGTTTGAAGAAAGTCCTCATAGGAAAGTACTTTCAAAATAGTCGTCATTGTGACAGAATAGCACAAAACTTAATAAAATACATATTTATTGCACTTTTGTCTCTTGTGTTCGGGCTGGAAACAGTCAGATCTGGCAACCCTGGAATTCCCTGTTGAATGAAAATGTTGGCGGAAATGTTATGTAAATAATTCAGATTACTTTAGCCACACATTATTCAGGAAAACTGGTTGATACAATTTTAAGAAATGTTTGAAAGTGTTTATAGGCCATTTTAAGATATTTTGTCCTCTCCATATTAGGAAGAGAGAAAACATGGACGCCTCAGATTAATTTGCAGGACATGATTCAGTGATAAAAACTTTTGATTGTCCACAAAATTTTGGTATCGTAAAATAGCATCTAAAAAATACAGCGAAAGATTCTTCAAAATGATTTAGTTGGTAGAAAGTTGCCAATTTCTCCCTCGACCGCTTTCATACATAAAAAGAAATTAAGGGAACCTAACAGGAGAGAAAACAACTAAAAGTCACAATCCGACTTTAAAAAATGTATTACCAGGGATTTTATTGTCTCGCTTGCCTCTCAGGGCTTCTGTGCAATAAACTGCATGCAGGCTGTTATGTATCATTATGTTTTAATGTCATTTATGCCTGCAACGAGACCATTCCCACCAATCTCCAGTTTTATTTTGCTGAAATCATAAAAATAACCTGAACTCAACATGAAATGTTAAAACCCCGTTTTTTTGTTTTCAGAAACTGCCGACTCTCCAACCTGAGAGTGGACCACATGGGAAATCCACTCTCATTATGTATAAAATACTATTAATTAACTTTATTGAATGTGTCACAGCATGGTTCCCACCACATGGTTCCCTCAGGGTCTCTTGTCCAAGACCCAACCTTGTCCCGTTCGGATCCAGTGAGCCAGCATCCTTCACGTCCGAGGTGACTCCCCCCTCCTTCTTGTCATTGCTTAGAAAGCTGCCAGTAATTTATAATGTTGTGACAGTCAAATAAACAGGGCGGCTGCTCGCTGGAGTGAAAAGTCCTGTATTAAAGGGAATCAAAACAGCTCCAAATGGTGCCTTGAATGGAAATAATCTCGCCGTAAGATCTGCTCTGGGCTAGCTAATTTAAATTTGTTCAGGGTGACAGCTTACTGGAAGAGGGACATAATGAAGTCCATTATCATCAGTGGTGCAAATTCTAAAGAACGATAACTCTCATTATCAGCGCTTTTCTGTATACGAAGGAAATATGTTCATCCATTATGAAATGTGCTGAGAATGACAACATGGAGCAAACATGAGACGCCAGCTAGACACTGGACACGTCTTTATTATTACTACAATAATAAAGACTTGCTTTATTTATGGATTAAGTTATGGGGATTTTTTTATGGCCCACAGGAAGAAAATGCTATGGATTTAAACTGTAATAGTTTGATCAGTCTGATATTTCTGCATTTCTGCATGCAGAAAGCTTGTGCTTATATTTACAGCGCCTTTCTCTGTGGGTAATCTAACATCTGCTCCAACAGGCCAGACCTTGAACGGTGGATTATCTCGTAAAAACAGGCTTCTATTAAATAGGCGCCGGAATTAACAATGAGTCATTTTGAACAGAATTAGGTGATAAATAGGGAAATAAAGCGGGTCTCCAGATCTGTAACCCACGATAACCACAGCACGAATAAACTTAGGAGGTTTGAAAAATATATTCACTTCAGAGAGTGCAAAAATATGTTTGTTGCCAGAATAATCATCAAAAGTAGGTTTGGTGCCAACAGAAATGTTGCTGCTGAATGAGGTGAAGTGGAAGAGACGGGGAGCCAGGTGTGTGGGGATTCACACACACATACTAATAAGCCAGTTAAAGTCAAGTGCACACATTTTGAGAGAAATAGTCACACAAATCAATCCTCTATCTATTAAAAAACATTGATTTTAGACATTGTTTGTACTGCTTGAAGCAATAGAAGATAACAGGTATGTATTTTGACATGTAATTTCTCCAAATTGTGACCTTTTTCAAGCACAATGGGAAGAAATCTGGAAGGCTGTTATTATTGTTTGTTTCTATGTTTGGAGCACAAATTTGTAAAGAATAAAATTTCCAAATGGAGAAGGAGATTTAAAAGACTTGGTCCACTCAACCGTATAGAGAGTATTCAGTTACACTCCATCCAACTTAAATTCTGAAACGGTGCTGCCGAGGTTTTCCTCTCTACTGTTGCTATGTGCTGCATACAGGTGCATGATACAATCTCCAAAACACGCAAACATAAAAAAACTTTTAAAACTTGTTCGATTCTCCTAGTGATCTGGAGCACTTCCGTTTGACGGAGTGAATTTGCAGTTGTTGGCCACCATGGGTGAGTCATTTAAAAACGGTCACGCTTCTTTGTCCACCAGTAGGAGCATCCAGCTGTTGATCATGTGATGCAAAAATGTATTTATGATTGCAGAATTTTTTGTTTGCATTTGTTTTTTGTTGCTTGCTGTGTGGTTGGAGATGTGATTTTATGTGAACATGTATATTCATGTGCGATTTTAAGAGTGTTTCTTATTAAATGGAAACACAACAATACTTCCAGGATCTTCCATAGAGTTTTTATTTTGATCTTAGCAGAATATTGACGTTTTGCACACATTTGTAATGGAAACCCATCAATCTGTACCTCCATGCTAACAGTTTTATGTCTAAATGTCTAAAAGGAATGTCTAAAAGTCCCTTGTATTATGAGCCAAACAAAAATCAGTCAAGGCATCTCCTCCTTGCTCTGTACTTTTACTCTTTTTGTGATAAAAAAGGTTTTTTCAATCAGTAATATCAGAAAAGCTTTCAACAGGCTGGTTTGATGACCTCGAATCAGTTCTGAGGAAACTGCAAGGAGCTTCCATTGTCTTCGTTGTGAACATCAGATGCAGGAAGTGACTTTAAGGCCAAGAAAAACACACATCAAAGAAGCCTGTCCTCTAAAAGCTCTCAGCGCATTCAGTCCCTGTTCCATCCAGGAGGGATCTTCATATCCTCTTTGCACCCAGTCCTTCAGGTAAATATTAGCACAAGGAGCCCCAGCTACTTGATGTACCCGAATCAAATTTACAAAACACTGTTTGACTCATGCTATTAAATCTGAAGATGAAAGAATCACCAAGGGCAAACAGCTCCCAAGGCTATATACCAAATACCCAGGCTCACATAACACCGAGCCGCAATTAAGAATTTAAATGGACTCTGCATAAAATGGGCCTCTGCTGTGAAAATGACCGACTTTGAAAATGTCATAATTAGCCGAGCCGACATTGTGCAATGTGTAAAGTCCAGCTACAGTTTATCCACTGATCTACTGCGCTGATAAGTTCATCTTTGTGATGACATTGTGAAACCTGGAAATATGACACCAAATGTACCCAAGAAAGGAGATAATTAGGCGAGCAGCTGTAAAACGAGTGTTCCTGGAGGGGCTCATCCGCTTCCCCTCAACTCTATTTACCTTCAGCATATAATTCCAGCTCTATTACAGGGAAGGAGAAGGACAAACACAACACAGAAATGTGAGGGATAAAAAGAAAGGCGGGAGAAGGAGGGGGCAGCTGGGAGAGAGAGGCCAAGAAAAGGATGATAAGAAATCAGAGATAAATTCTCCAGGGTGCAGACGTATTCCAGAGAGGAGTGACCAATCGAGATAGAGGCAAAGACGGGGTAAAATAGTGATAAGAGTGATGACAGAGTGTAAAATGACTCAGTCAGCCCTGGCAGTGGCATTGGCTCTGACCTCCCATTCCTCATCCCGGTACCATGTGGGTCGGGACCAGAGGTCGACCTGCAATGTTTCCTTCATCACTTTGACGAATGGTGTCAAAATTTTTACCAGTCAGTTTTTAAAATGACAATAATTACGTTCAACTGCTTTCCAATTGCATTCTGTATGATTAATATTCAACAAGTGGAATAAATTCATTCTTTTTAAGCAGCAAGCCGAAAAAATTCAACTCTTTCTCTGAAGGGATGAAGTTTTGAAATCAGGTAACATTTTATCAATTGAAAGGATCAGAAGTTGCCTAGACTCTGAATATTGCAGGATCTGGTAAGCACTTCCCTGACGTTTATTCTGAAATTAAAGTCAGATTATGATTCTAATCCCAGAATTCTGACTTTTGATTTCAACAAATTAAAGAAATCTGAGAAAAACCTCAGAATTCAGTTTAAAGTCAGAAATCTTACCAAGTATTTTTGTTTAGTTTCTAGTGCAAATGTCTTAGTTTTTTCTTATTTTAAGGGCATTAACTAGTTACTTTTCAGCAAGTTATGGGAACTTGTTTTATTTCAATAATTACTGAATAATGATAAAAATGACTAATTCCAAGGGCAGATGTTTTTCACTTCTTGCTATAAGTGGAAAAACAGCATCTAACTTATAAAAAAAGAACAATTTTCCATTTCATCATTGAAATAATCTGCCAATGGAACAAGTAGTTTTTAAAAATGATTGCCTTTAAACAAGCTCCCATATCTTGTTAAATTGTCACTTAGAAGTTATTTTTGTCTTATTTCAAGTGTACAAAGCCATTTGCACTAAAAATGAGACAAAACCATAGAAATATCTGGTGTGTTTTCAGTGCTGGATGATAAATTTCTCACTAACTTTACTAAGTAACTGAGCTTGATGGCGTTACTCTAGATGCTTTTTTCAAAACCTGAAAGCATTTCTAGGTAGGTTGTAAAAAGTTTTAAAGTTTCACATCATCCAAATTCAAACATTTTTGTAGACAATAGGACCGTTTTCACAGAGACCTTGTCTGAAGAAAAACTCTTTTGTTGCGATCACACGTGAAGGATCCGGATTGTCATAAAGTG